GGCGGTGGGGGGGGGGTTGGGGGGGGGGGGGGGTGACACCACGAGTTTACCGCACCGGGTGACACCGACCCTAGGTATGCCACTGATTGAACTTATACAGGAGTACGTAGGTGATATATATATGTATACATGAATGTATACAAATATAAATAAAGAGAGAATAAAGTCAGACAGACAGAGAGAGCCTTGAAGTATTTGAATTATGATAAGATGAAAAACAAGACATGAAAAATTAGGATACGAACAAAGAATAAATTAGAGCTCAATTTCGAAGTTATTTTGTTGAATCCATCTCCAGTTAAAACATCTTAAAATTACTTGAATTTTAATGTAAAACAAACAAAGAAACAAACAAACGTTGAATTGGTTGAGATTATTTGAAGTATACGTTAAAATATTTGTTTTTATTTAAATTCACAGCTCGGGACCCAGGCAGTAAGTATTGAGTTTCTTACTTGATAAATTAGCGGATGAATATTATAGAGATATATAACATTTAAAACAACGATCTATTTTTCGGGCATATCGTTAGAAACGAATTCAGTCTAGATGCATGGCAAACGTTTGCACTAAAATGTTGAAATTCTCCACCAAATATTAATATCACTTGTGCCATATGATAAATAGAAAGATTATCTTTGAGATTAGCACACATTTTTTTCCTTCTGGTTGGACCAGTATTTTCATTTTTACCAGAAACGAAGAGCGTAGAAAGAGGCCATAGAAATACTAATGAATGTTTAATAAAATCTCTTAAGAAAATGCGATTTTAACATAATTGTTACACAATCTTTTAAGAGGGGATATGTTTACAGCACCTTATTACATAATATGTAGGTGCAGAAAAATTCTTAATCTTAACATTTTCCCATTATTATTTGATATATTGAAACGTTTAATTTTATTTATACTGATGATATTTAAAAGTTACATTTTTTTTTTCATAAATAACATATTTCTCTCTCTCTCTTCCCTCTCCCACGCACTGTCTCACAGATATGTTTGGCGACTACTTCGACACAGGTGAGTTCCGTTGTTGGTGTAAAATAAGTTTTACTGTTATCAGAATATACCCCATAAAAAAAAAAGGTAAAAGGATTTGAATCAGGGTCGACAACTCCACACAATAAAATTTACGAACACATCTTTCTAAATATTTTAAGGAATATTTTAACGGAAACATTTGAATTAAACCTATACACGGGGACTCATTTTCTTTCATATTTAGGTAGGATAATGATCTCATTAAAAAAAAATTAAGTTTGTTTATCGTATGCCATTCTTATCACTGTTGAATTACTCAATATGAGCACACAGTTTTATAAAGTAACACCAGAAGGGTTGAGATTTCCCGTGTTAAATCACTTCAAAAAAATATTTTAAATGTCATATTTTTTTAAAGGTCTTATTGACTTTTATGTACAGGTCGCTTTAGGTCCTATTTTGATGGGACCTTCCGTAAATTTGCGGACGGTTTCCAAAAAATCATTTAAATCCATGATATATTGGGCTAGTTCTCATATATTCCTATCTTAGATTGATATTACGTTTCCGGATATGATAATGTAACTCTCTTTTTCTCCCCCCCCCCCTCTCTCTCTCTCTCTCTCTCTCCCCCCCCCCCATCTATTTGTATACCAAACTGTCCGTTTAACAACCTTTATCTTATTTGTGGTATTATTTTTAGCAACCACCTATTTAATTTCCGGATATGATAATTTAACTCTCTTTTTCCCCCCCCCCCCCTCTCTCTCTCCCTCTCTCTCCCCCCCCCCCCCCATCTATTTGTATACCAAACTGTCCGTTTAACAACCTTTATCTTATTTGTGGTATTATTTTTAGCAACCACCTATTTAGCATGTAACTTATAAATATTTCATACTATCTCTAATCTTCGCTTGATCTCTTTCTGTCTCATCCAACTCTGTAACTAATAAGAAATCAACTGTCTTCTATTTGTCTGTCTGTACAAAGAGTGTGTAAATGTTTACTTGATTTTATTTGTTTAATTTCAGTGATTGAATACCCGATGATATTGGGTAAGTTTTTTCATTACCTGCAACTATAATCAACAACATAACCCCAAAATGCTCACCTGACCCATCTAAAGCTTTGACCCACCTGACCTACATCACAAGACATGTCTGATTTACTTCAATGACCTTCCTGATCCATACGACCCGCCTGACCCACCTAACCCACATGTCGCCACCTAAAGCTTTGACCCAGCTGACTCACAAGACACGCCTGAATTACTTACATGACCTTCCTGACCCATACTACCCACGTGACCCACCTAACCCACATGGCCCACCTAACACTTTGAAATTACCTGAATCACAAGGCATGCCTAAATTACTTACATGACCCAAGCGACCTAGCTCTCATGGCCCACCCGACCCACCTGACCCACCTAACCCTTTGACCCACCTGACTCATATGACACGCCTGAATTACCTCAATGACCCACCTAACCCACCTAAAACACACCACCTGTATGACGCACATGACTGGGACGTTGTACGGTAAAAGCTATTTTATAAGCTGTCCCATCTTCTCAATGTTTAATGTACCACTAAAGTAATCACACTATAACGTTACGAGGAGGACATCGCCGACTGATGGCTTCATCTCTTCCATCTCACAGACCCATGCAGTAACCCACAGTGCAACGGCAAGGTCAACCCCACGGTGCTACTTATGCAAGCTTTCGCCCCCATGATGAGACCAGGCATGGGCGGAATGGGCGGAATGGGAGGAGGCATGGGTGGAATGGGCGGAGCTATGGGCGGAATGGGTGGAGCTAACCCATTCTTGTCTATGAGTGAGTTTATCTGTTGTAGATATGTCAAATTACAATTACATTTTTTGGGTGATATGTTTGGCTTGTACAAAGAAAACATGTATAAAACATGAGAAAACTCACACATTATGAATTATGTACACCAAACATTTCACCTGAAGGTAACTGGTCCATGAAATTAGTTAAATTCATGATATATAAATTCGGTAGAGGTTGAAACCACTGCTACTGTTACATTAGTAAACTGACTGGTGATTATATTAGTTAATATTAGTGATCTATAAATTCAGTAGAAGCCATCGCTTGTTATGGATGTACACTTCTGAAATAGCACGCGCAGTCATCACATTGTACACTTATGAAATAGCACGTGCAGTCATCGTATTGTTCACTTATGAAATAGCACGTGCAGTCATCGCATTGACGACTTTTTTAACCCCTTGCTTTCAGTGGGTCAAGGTCAACAGAACCCCTTGTTGGCGGCCATGTTGCCAGGATTTAATGGTATGAACAAGTCTGCAGGTAACATATAGGTGAATGAGTGTTTGAATGGTATTCAAGAGTTAAGGGAACTTATAGGTGCATGAGGGCTTAAGGGTATGAATGGTATTCAAGAATTAAGGGAACTTATAGGTGAATGAGTGTATGAATGGTATTCAAGAATTTAGGTAACTTATAGGTGAAAGAGTGTATGAATGGTATTCAAAAGTTAATGTAACCTATAGGTGCATGAGTGTATGAATGGCATGCAGAAGTCTAGAGGTAACATATCGGTTAATGAATTTACGGTGAGGTACGTACGTGTTGCTTGATGTTCTTGGAGCTGAACGTGTGAATAAAAAGGTCAGGAAGGTTGGGAGAATGATTAAAAATTCACCACCGATGTAAGTACATGAGATGATGCGGCGAATGCTTACATCTAGCTGCAGATGTAAGTGCATGAGATGAGGGGGCGAATGCTTACATCTAGCTGCAGATGTAAGTGCATGAGATGAGGGGGCGAATGCATTATCTGCCAATGGAAAGTTGATGTGTGCTTATTTAGTGTCAGCCACAACAGTAAGAAGCTACTGTCTGAATCATAACGCTATAAAGTTGATTTTTTTTTAATGTTCGCAAACAGCCCCTTAAGGAATTAACCCTATTCATTCACAATCACCATCTCGTTACAATCATAAGAGAGGCGAAGTGGTCCAAATAGTGACTAATATTTTATCATACAGAATCACAATAATAGTCAATACGAACTAGGTCAACACCTCATGCCAAACACACGAATGATTGGCACCAATATCATATTAATCTCAATACTTCCATTACTAGCATTTGGATAATCTTCTTTACGTCTTAAACTTAATAATGTATCAACACACTATAGCTTGTCTAATTTCTTCAAACAAATTACACGAATCGACTGTCATATTATTCAACCTCCTTTTCTTGTTCCTTTCTTCGCTCTCCTTGATTTGCCAGGTTTTCTCAAGTCCCCATACTCTGTATATTACATAAAAAAATAACTCTCATATTACTTATCTCCCATATATTCATAGCTGTGACAAGAGTTAAGACCTAACATCCGCTATAAGTTAATTGAAGACACTTCACCGTGTGAGGTATTTAGCTCCACATGTGAGGAAAAAAACCCCCACAGACCTAAATATTAATATTAACCTGTTTGATGAGCTTTTAAATCACGCACGAAAACGTGGTATATAAATAGAATGTATGTTTGAAAATATGTATGTTATGAAGAAATGAGCGGTAAAAGAAACTGTAAGTTATGGGGAGTTGTTTTTGAACGATGTGTTAAGAGTTACTTTGTGTTATAAAGAAACACGCTTTGAAAAAACGTTTTTGGCTCGAGCGTGTATTATAAAAACATGTGTTATGGAGAAATGTTTTTGTACTCTATAGTCCTTGTTAATACTAATAAGAACAGTTTTCATATAAAGGATTTTATTGCATGTCCGTTATATATATATAACGTCTCATTAATATAAATATATATTAATTTGACATTATATCTTCTCTAAAACGTACAGGTACAGCTACACAGCCAGCCAACCCGCCAGCCACACCTGCAGGGTCAACTCCACCGGTCTCACCAAAGCCCGCGGTGCAACCCGCAATGCCCAACAACTTGGCCCAGATGATGCAGATGTTCCAGAACCCGCAAATGGCGCAGGTCAGTCAGTACACTGGCGTCAGAAGGAAGGGGTGGAGGGGGAAATGAGGGGGGGGGATGCTCCTGTATATTGAGTGGCGGCATTTTCCGGCCAACTGCAGAGTATTTTCGTGAGGGAGGCGCGGAAAAAATCTTGTCCCAAACCCGGGGCGCTACTTAGCCTAGCAAGTGTCATTTGGGTCACTGTATTGAGTCAGTCACGGGTTTCTCGTGTCTGGTTACATCGGGATTAAAGGAGATTGTTCAGTTCTTGATGGGATGACTAGGATTAAGATTAAGGTTATAATTAAGAATGAGATAGATTTCACGCAATATTTAAAAAAAATAAAAATAAAGGGAAACTATCGTGTCTGGTTACATTTCATTAAGGCGAATTATCATGTTTCGTTCCAGATGATGCAACAATACATGCTCAAAACACTCATGGGTCAGGGCGGAGGTCATCCCGCGGCAACCCCAGCACCAAAAGCCAACCAGTACCCAAACTTTGGCGGTAGTCAAGGCTTCCCATTTTGTAAGTTAAGATTCAACTAAAAAAAAAACCCTATCTAGATTAGAGAAAAGATAGTAATGACAAACAGAGGTATAGAGAGAAAGGAGAGAGATAAAGAGATGGAGGGAAAGGTAGAGATGAGATAGAAAGGGAGAGAGACAGGATGAGAGAGAGAGAACGTGAGAGAGAACGAGAAGAAGATAGAGTGAGAGGAAAAGATATAGAGAATAGAGAAAGTGGGAGATAGATAGAGAGAGAGAGAGGAGAGAGAGAAAGTGAGAGAGACAGAAGGAGGAGAAAGGGAAAAAGATAAGTTGAGAGGAGAAGAAAGAAAAAGAGGGAGATATTAGGAGAGAGGACGAGAGAGAGAGAGAGAGAAATAGGAAGAGAGGGGTATTGAGTCGGAGAGAGGGGAAGAGAGTGGGAGAGAGAGAGTGAGAGAGAGAAGAAGAGATAGGGAGGATGAGAGATGGAGAGAGAAAAGGAAGAAAGATTTGTTTAAAAAACATTATTACCATTTCAGTTTAAACAATTTTTCTCTGGATGCAAGAACGTGACGTCACAGCGGACGCACCAGGCCAGCGACATTTTACTACAACCTTTCCTCTCCACACTGTTTTTACATTGCTGTGGCGACATGTCCATAGTGACATCTTTGTGGTGCCATCTGTATTTTGACATAGCTGTGGTGACATGGACAAAGGGCAATTCCAACAGCCTGATGATCTTGTCATAATTATAACAATTAAGGGGAGGGGGGCGCCAGTTGTTTAGTTTTTGAGAAATTTATTAAAGTAATAGAACATAATTAGAAAAAAGATTTAATTTTATTTTTCAAGTTGTTTTATAAACATAATATTTCTTTCTCCTCCGCTCATTCAAGCTTCTCTTCGCGGAGAAAAAACAAAACAAAATTAGTTATGTAAAGCCTTCTGGATATAGCTCGATATATGGGCCATACCAATGGAAATAATGCTGAAGTGGACCAGACTGAGCCAGGGACTCACGTAGACCAACGTTCCTGGCCTTGTATCTCTCTACTGCCACACTCAAGACCGAATGCGGTAGAACAAAAAAACAAAATAACAACAAAAAACAACACCACCAAATGAAACAACAACGTGAGAACGCTCACATCAGCTCAGTCAAGATCTGTCACAGTCGGTGCTTCCTCGTATTTGTAGCAACGACCACCGGTCAATTGAACAACCACTAAAAACAATTTTTTTTCCTCGAACAAATCCTTTTTAAAATATAGCGATCAGCAAAGAGGGGGGTGGAGGGATGTGGGCGGAAATTTGACGAAAAATGAATATAAACTAACAACTGTATAAGAATCGCAATTAGTTCTCTCTCCCTTCCCCACCGCCCCCCTTTTTTTTTCTCCCCCCAAGTCTTTCAACCGCGCATTTTTTAACACTCCTGAACTATATTCATATTTCAATGACCCACCCTCCTTTACACCGCAGATTTATTTTATCAACTACATATTGTAGTATGCCATTCACTACATATACTACCGGTATATACGATACCATTTACCACGACAAACACCCAATAATAAAGATTGTATTCATTCCCCTAGTGCTGTTCGGAGGCAAAGAGGTGTTATGTGAGTAGCTTCTCTGAGACTTTTTTTCATTTACAAAAAAAAATAAATACAAAAATAAAAAAAAAAACCAAAAAAAAAAACCAAAAAAACCAGCAGCTATATTCGCCTAAAATAATAAAGATTGTATTCATTCCCCTAGTGCTGTTCGGAGGCAAAGAGGTGTTATGTGAGTAGCTTCTCTGAAACTTTTTTTCATTTACAAAAAAAAATAAAAACAAAAATAAAAAAAAAAACCAAAAAAAAAAACCAAAAAAACCAGCAGCTATATTCGCCTACAAGATAAAAATCTCAGAGTCCTCATATCGCGGACTCGTGCTTTTATTGAGTTGTTAGAAAAATAAAAGACTAAACATTCGCACAGAGTAAGGCATTCATGACAGTCATGTAAAATGTGTACAGCTCTTGGGGAGAAACTGACCTGTCCGTTATTTGTTTGTTAAATAGCATTAAATAAGCACCGTAAATAAGCACCGTCTGCAGTAATAAGGCGTTGTGGTCTTCTTAGAGAACATCTTGACCCCCCCCCTCTCACCTGGTTTCAAGCAGGACCGTGTTATCCATTCTCGAGGGGTCCAAAGGAGCTTGGAGCCCATAGGCCTTGACATGGGTTATTACGTCACTGGGTTTAAGATCTACGGTTTCCTCAACATCTCGGAGAGTTTGCAGTCATTACTTTGAATTTAAAAAAAAATATATTTTCAGTGTCGCGTTTACTCCGAGCGACTCTCTCCTCACCTTCTGTCTGTTGAGGAATGTATGTCATTAAAAAAAAACAACCACAGAGCAAATTGATGTCAGTCATAATTGATTCCATCAAGTATCTAAGACCGTGCTCTTCTAAAAATAGATTCCGAAACGTATTGTTTGGGTGTTTTTTATGGGTCGAAAAAAAAAAAAAAGCTCTGAGTTATTCAGGTCGAAACCTTCATGAAAATAGTACGGTGACCAATGGTTTTGTTTTTACCAGTACAGAATGACTCTCCTACTTCACCATAGAGTCATTCATTAATGCATAAGACGTTTGCACAAAGAAAACAGCACAAGGGATGAATATTAAACAACAGTGTTGCTAGAAGGACATCACATTGGACGATAGCATGGAACAGCATGAAAAATCATCTAAAAAAAAAAAAAAAGAGAAAAATCTAAAAAAAACAAAAAATTCTTAAATATTTGTTGACTTTCAACGCACAAAAAAAAAAACAACAAAAAAAAAAAAAAACAAAAAAAAAAAA